CAAGGCCCCTTTTTATTATAAAATCTTTTATCACGAAATCGTGAAGCATGTGATTCTGTAACATAACAGCATTGCACGCAAGCACACCATAGGACACTGTGGGAGAGATATTCAAATTAAAACTAGAAATCATTATACCCATATTATTTATTACCCTACCAGCCACACTCAAGCAGGCCTTACTTCTCTGCCGGACTCTGTATTTAAGGGTCAGAATCATCAGGTGGGTAGGCTTATAGGAGTAAAGACCCCAGCACACCCAGGGTCCTCTAAAATGGGGGACTAATTCTTCCAACGATGCAGACGTAAAAAGTAACAAGCAGAGAACATCTGGCCTTGAGCCCCCGCGATGGCCTCCAGGGCTGCCGAGGGGCGAGGGCGGTGGGCGGGAAGCTCCGTGGCAGGAAACGGCAGAGGCCCGCGAATACAGCCTGGCCTTTGATTTCGGTCTTTGAAAGGGCAGGGCTCTCCGACAGCTTGGCAGCTAATGGAGCAAAGGAGTTTTTGCACGTTTCCCCTGCCAGTCACGTCTGTAATTGGCCCATCCCATCGCCCTCCCCAGGGAGGAGGAAGTGGGCTTCATCGTGGGTCAGAGCCGAACCCGTCCCCGGGGCGGCATTTCTAACGGGTGGGGCCGCTGCGCTCGGCACCCTGCAGCCACCGGAGCCAAGGTCATGTTCTGGGGAGACGTGGGCCTTGCCCAGGCTTTGGTGGTGGGCTCCTTGCTTCAGCGGGCACCTCTCCCGGGCCTCTCCGCTGGGCCTTCAGCACGGCTGTCGTCGGCCATGCGCCAATTGCCATTTTCTTACTCTTTCCTGAGTGACCTCGAGAACAGGCGCGGTGGGGGTTCGGGGGCTGGCGGAGGGCTGGTGGGCGGAGTAGGACTCGGGATTTTCTCGTCCTGCCCAGAACACCATCCAAGGAACCCCGCAGTCACCCTTAACTTTTATTTTGTTTTTATTTTATTTTATTTTATTTTTATTTTAACCTTCGCCTGAGGATATGCTTATTGATTTTAGAGAGGGGGAAGAGAAGGGAGGGGGAGAGAGACACACACACACACACACACTGATGTGAGAGAGAAACATCGATCGCTTGCCTCCTGTAAGTGCCCTGACCAGGACTGAACCCACACCCTTGGATGTAAGGGACGACGCTCCAACTGACTGAGCCCCCGGCCAGGGCCCCCCCGTAATTATTTAGAGTTGACTAAACATGACAGATGGACGGCACTCCTGCTTAGAAAACGACATTGAACGGAGCACAGAAGCTGGCTGTACACACAGATTCTCAGACTCCGGAGGATGCGAGAGCCGCGGCCTCTCTGACGGGGAGGGGGCCTGGTCTCTGTTTGGGGGAGAGGATTAGAAAGTGTGTGGCTGGGCGGATGGGAATCAACACTAAGAGCTGAGAGCCCGCGAGGGAAAGCGTGCCTCCCGTTTGACCAGGGACGTAGCTGCTTGTTCATTCTTTGCGACAGTTGGTAATTAAACACCAGTGGCCTCTCCATGATTTCATGTTCGAGGTCAGAAGAGGAAATAGTGAGACACCACGCGTGGGCTGAATCCTCGAAGTGACAGGCATTTGCTGAATGCGGCCCAAGCTGGGCTCCCAGGTGGGAGTGTCTGCACTCCTTCCGCCCCGTGGGGTCCGCGGCGTGGAGTCGGGGGGGTGGGGCACACAGCCCTCCGCGGTCCTGTGTGGAAATTAAACCGCACGAAGTAGAGGCACAGGACAGAGGGCCGCTGGGGAGACCCAGGAGCACAGGAAGGAGGCAGGCAGACAGAGGTGACTTTCAGTGACCCTCGACTGGAAAGGGGTTATTGACAAAGGCCCACAGTGAGGAAGAAGCCCACCAATCAGCCCACGAGGGCAAAATGGACCCTGGGTGTCTCTGCAGATCCTTTCCCACGGGAGCCCCGTGGGCTGAGCCGCCAGTGAGCAAGGCCGCTGTGCGTTCTCCAAGGCCCGTGCCGCATCCCGGGCGCCTTCTGCTGCGGAGGTCAGCACGGTTTTCTGCAGAGGCCCAGCCGGCAACTCTTCTCAGCTTTGCAGGCCACGCATCTCTGTTGCCACCACCCGCCTCTGCGGCTGTAGTGGGAAAGCGCGCGGCAGAGACCTGGAAAGGCGGGGGCGTGGCCAGGCGGGCCTGCGGGGGAAGGGTCTAGATCCTTGTTACTCCCAGGGGGCCCGACCCATGTTATCAGCAGGCCCTGGAGGCTTGCTAGCGACGGGGCAGAGTCTGGCCCGGCTGTGACCCACTGGTCGCTTTCCCGCCAGCACTGGGCTGGGGCCTGTGCCGAGAACAGGGTTGGATGAGGGAGAAGGGAAAACGCCGTGAAACTGGGGACTCGGGGCAACAGCTCATAAGAGGGGTGGGGGCTGGGCACCCAGCCCGGGACAGCCTCTGGGAAAGCCCTGGGGACAGCAGGGAAGGACGTCCCGGGAAGTGGCAGGCGGCCACGAGAAGCAGGCTTCGCCCACTGCAAGGATTGTGCTGGGCTCGCTTTTATCTCGTTCACGTGGAAGTTATCGATCAGGTCTTCGAGCCGGGTGCCCTTAGGACTGAGAGACGAGGGTGGGTGGGGGGCGGGGAGGAGAAGACACGACGGGACCGTCCCCTCCCACCTGAAGGCAAGGAGGATGAGCCAGGGGCAAAGGTAACCCTACTGCGCAGGTGACAGCAACTGAGCCAAGAGGAGGTTCCAGAAGACGTGTGAGCACGGAGGAGAAACCACCTGGCTTGGGTTAGTGCCACGAGGAGACCCGGAAGCCTCGGGAAAGAGGGGGAGTTGGTTCTTGAGAAACACCTGTTTCGTGCGTAGAGCCGGGAGTTGAAAGGCATCGTGGGGAGGGAGGCCCGGCGACTCGTACCCTGAGGCCGAACCTGGCCCGTCTGCGCCCACAGCGGGCGGCGGCATGGTCTGGCCCCTGATTTGAGGAAATTTTAAGAGTATTTTTCTTCAGGTGGTGAATTTTCTGTATATTTTTCCTAGTATATAGATTACACCTTTGTAAGTATGAAATAATTAAGATGATGGTGATAATAGTAATAATTATATAATTATAATAGTGTAACTTCTGAAAAAGTTGGAGAGAGCCGTGAACTGCTAAATTTGTGTTTCTTCTCTGGACAAAGTAAACACATCACTGACCTGGTATCCCCTCCCCCACCCTGTCTCTCTGTTTCGCATTAAACTTGAGGTCTTAACGACAGAGCCCACCCCACCAACCCTGAATAAGAACCAAGTTGTAGGAAGGAACGTCCAAGAAATGGTTTATTCTGAACAAGAAACAATGCTGACTTGAAAAGGGCCAGGAGGCAGCGTCTCTAGGGCTGCTTCCAGCTCCCGCCCCTAGTTCACGACGCCACCCGCCGAGAAACCCCAAGCGCCGCGCGGGTCCCCGCGGGGAGGGAAGCAGCCCGGTTATTGCCCAGAGGGGACAGGACAGGGCTGACGGGGAACGAGGAACGAGAAGCGTGTAAGCCAAGTGCTCCCGTGTGGGCCAGCAGCATCCAGACATCGCCCTGGCTGAGAGGAGGAAAACAAGGACCATTTAAAAAAATAAAAATATAAAACCACATCATACATTGAAATGCCTCCTGGGGAAACTGAGAGGCAACACAGCGGCAAGGGCTGATTTATGATGTAAAAAGTGAAAACTGGAAGTTAGATGAAAAAATAAAAACACAATTGAACATCCACGGGGACGTACAGATATTAACGTTGCCAGGAAGTTCAAAGCATCCGACACACCGGGCTTGTTTCTACAGAGAGTTGGCCGGACAAACGAGTGACACAGGACCATTTCTCCAAATGCTGCGGGTGCTGCAGAGCCGCAGTGGCTGCCATTCGGTGGGGGGCCCGTGCGGGGCGCCTTACACACAGGATCTGCGTTAACCCCGTAACAACCTGCAGGGGGCATCTGCTACCCCGTTTTAAACCGAGGAACCTGGCGCCCAAGCGATGGCGCCATTTGCCGAAGGACTTCGGGTCAGTAGGCAGCAGGGCCGGCTTCTGAACACAGGCCGGACCCCAAGTCTAAGCCTTATTGCTGATGCTGCGGCATCTTCCCAACCAAAGGCGACGCCTTCAGGGAGTTTGTCTTCCGTGCGGCCCCGCCCTCTGAGGGCGGACCTCCGATAACGACCCGCGCCTCCTTACACCCCTCCCAGCGGGGCGGTCCTGGAAGGGGGTGCGGGGGTCAGAGTGCTGCTGCGGGACTTGGTTTCCGGGGCGCCGGTGGCACTCTAGGAGCGACCGATGGGCAGTGACTCAACCTCGTGAGTGGGTACCTACATGCCATCCCGGCACCGGGCTGGGGTGGGGACCCGCGGACATGAAAAATGGGGCGAGGCAGTCTCCTGTGGACGCGGGGAGAAGTCCGTCTGCACCCCGAGCCCCTGAGCACCGGGCTGGTCTGCCGGCCACACCGCCGTAGGCGGTCAGAGACGGGGCTGGCAGGGGACGCCAGGGACGCGCTCCGGGTCTGGCTCCAGGCCTGGCGCACACAGGGTCCACAGGCAGCGCAAACGCCCCGATGTGCATTTTGCCTTTGAGCTGCATTTTCGAAAGTACTAAGGAGCTGGAACGGACCAAACTGCCAAATCATGATGGTCTAATTGCTTCGGGGGACGGACGGGCACGTCCGACATCACTGTTAGATCTGGCACATGCCAACGGTTTCATAAACGTCCAACGTTTTGCACGTCTGCTGCCCAGCGGGAGCCTCCCAAGAGCTGTGCGGTCAGCGGTGGGGCAGAGCCCTGTTGAACCCCTTTGGCAGATGCAGGAAACTGAGGCACAGGAAGGCCAAGGCTTGTCCAAGGTCACACAGGAGATTGTTCTGGCAGCTGGGCCCAGAACCCGGGTCCCCAGCTCCAAGGCCTGGGCTCCGTCTGCATCTGATGTGGCCGGGGTGAGGCGGGGACCGTCATGGTGCAGAGAGGGGCTTTGGTGGGCAGGGCAGAGGTGGGCGCAGTCGTGCTGGGCGGTGCCTTAGCTGCCGCCGCCGCTGCCGCCATGGGAGCAGGTGGGGCTCAGGATGCTGTTGTGGCCGCCGTCCTGGAGCCGGCCCGGGGCCTGGCCCCCCGCGCGGCCCTCGGGGTCCGGGAGCTGGCCGCCCTGCCCCTGCTGCCTCCTCAGCCTGCAAACAAGCACAGCGCCGGCCTGAGTGACGCGGGGAGGGGCCGCGAGATGACCAGGACTCGCCTGGGGCTGCAGCGGTAGCGGGGAGCCTTCGGCTCCCACACCACCCCCGGCCCCGCTCGGCCTGGGGAAGCCCAGCGCTGCGGGGCCAGGCGGGCCCGCGCTCAAAGCCCCGCTCAGGTGCGCTCAGGTGAGTCATGGCCCACGCGGAGCCCCCCGTTCCTCCATCAGTAACATGGGGATGGGAGTGCCCATCGTGTGCCCCCCCACCATGAAGTCTACATGCATCGTGGGTGTAACTCGCCTGAGCTCACAGTCAGGAAAGGTGGCGAGGCCCCACGTTCACACCGAATGCGCACCGAGGGACGAGCCACCATGCCAGGGGGTCAAGGAAACCCTGGTGAGCACAGCAGTTGTGGGGGGCACAAATCAGATCGTCCCATAAGCAAATATCCAGACAGCGGGGCACCCGGACTTACACAATAGCTTGTGAGAGGCTGGTTAAGGGACCGTGACTCTGAACACTGCATTTCTTAACAGCAGGCCACAGGTCTCCTTCCACGTGAGGTAAGATGCCAACAGGCCTCTCTCTCTGGTTTTCAGGTTCACGAACGACCCCACAGCGGTCACTGTGTGTGGCCGGGGCAGGCAGCAAAGGAACCCCGGACGGGGAAGAGGCAGGAGAAGCGTGAGAGCAGGGAAGGACTCAGCCCAAAGCCAGGCTCTGCCAGCTGGGTCATGCCTCAGTTTCCCTATCAGGCTCATAGCCTTCACTTGGCAGGAGGCTCAAGGAATCAGCGAGACTGTGTGTAAGTTATCCAGCGTGGGGCTGGAAATAATCACATTAGTGCAGTTCTGCCATGTCTGAAAGACACAGGGTTTCGCCGGAATGTACTTTTGGCATTAGTGTGTTCAGGGGGCAGACCTACTGCCTGATTTAAATGAACTTGGCATCCTTGTCACGTGCACGGCACTGTGGATGATCCTCAGATGAATACAACGCAGACCACGGTCTTGGCCAGACCACAGCTGTGTGTGCACGTGTGTGTGCGCGTGTGCCTGGGAGGGCGTGTGCACCACACGTGCCTGTAGGGTGGGGACACCAGGGTTAGCAGCGGCTCCAGTATCTGAGCAGGTCCTCCGGCAGTGCTGAACCACCAGCCGCAACGCTGTGTTTTATAAGATGGCGGTGAACTTGGGGCCTCCTGCCTCCTGCCCTCTGTCCACCAGCAGGGACGTGGCCCAGGAGTGCAGTCCTGCTGTGCCCGCGGCCTGTGGCTCTCGGGTAGGACGACTGGGGAAGGTGGTCGGGGATAAAAGACACCCTCCCAGTGGAGGAGCGGCCAGGACCCAGAGGGCGGAGCTGAGGTCCAGGTGGGGTGTGTGGGAGGGCGGGGGGGAGGGGGCAGGTGGGAGGACCGGGGCGGGAGGGGACGAGGTGGCCAGCTCCCTGGGCGAGGTGGCTGCAACTCAGAATCTTCTTCCTCGCCCACCTGTCCCCAGACCTCTATCATAAGAGACTCAGGTGCCTCTGGAGAGAAAATCATATCAAAACTAGGGGGAAACGCAAGTGACTAAGGAAGCTACGAGAGTGGAAGGGGAATCCTTTTACTTCCGAAGCAGGGTGGCGCTGGGGTGTTCACAACTGTCCTGCGGCACGGTTCTCTCGGCTTTCACAAGATGAACAGGAATCCCTTTCAGATTTTCTCTTAAATGCCCCAAAGCTGGGATTTTTGTATTTAAAAATAGTGTGCACACCCAAATAGGGTTATGTTGAGGACCAGCATGGCCGCTCCTAGGCTCCTGTGCTCTCGTTGTAACAGAAAATAAAACTTCCAGGGCCGTCTCAGGAGAGTGGAGCCTAGGGATGCGGGGGCCCCGACGAGGGGGCGACGGCCTCCGACCCTCGTGCGGGTCAGAGGGGGCTTCCCGTGGGAGGCGGCGCTTGAGCTGGACCCAAGGACCACACCGAGCTGCTCCCCACTCAGCGTCTCGCCCGTCCCTAGCCAGCCCGAGACGCTGGGGCCCCACACAGGCCACGCCCATGGAGTCATAATAGTCATAATAGTAACCATTTTTACTAGGCCAGGCATTGTATCAACAGCCTCGTTTAATCGGGTAACAGCCCCAGTGCAAGGCAGGGAGGTCCCCTGGCCGACGCCGGAGTCGAGGCCCAGGGAAGGGAAGGACGGGGCCTCAGGCCGCTCTGCAGCCGCTGCTCGGAGCTCGGGCCCCTCGCCACCTGCAATCCTGCCTGTCTGTGCCAGCCCCCCCGGGCCGGCTCCGTCCACTCCCCCATTTCCCTCGAAGACGCTGAGGCCGAGGGGGAGGAGCCAGTAGGGTCCCCGGGCCTCTGCCCCTCCAGGGTCACAGCCGGCTTCCCGGGAGCCCGGCGGTTTGGAAGGGCTCTGCGCTGCGGGCCGCTGGGGACTTACTTCTCCCTGTTGAACACGATGAATTCCTTCCGCAACGTCTCCAAGCACTGCTGCAGGTGGCCGTTCTGTCAAAGAGCACGGGCAGGGGACGGTGAGTGGCCACGGTGGCGGGCGGGGCTCGATCTACAGGGGACCGGGGACGCGCTCTGTGGCGGGGGCTGCCCCACGGCACGCACAGGCAGCCGGGCCAAGGGGGCCTGGCACACGGAAGCGCTTTTCTCAGTTTGAAGCCACAACGTCAACACAGACGCCACGTTGGGGTGGACTGTGGGTTGAAAATCATCAGCTGGCTTCCTGGTCCGTGGAATGTCCCCTGGGCCTAATCAAGCCCGAGGGGGTGGGAGGAACGCCAGGCCGCCCTGCAAGGTGCGCGTTCCCGCCAGGAAACGGCGCCGAGAACCACGGTCCCACCAGCGCTCTGGCGCTGCGCCCCGGGCAGACATCCCCCGGCCCTGCGGCCTCACCAACACACACTCGGGGGGCTCCAGGCACGGGCCCGGGGCCTGCCATCCTTTGAGGGTCTACAGAGGTATGTTAATCTCTTTTAAAATAAGAAGGAAGAAAGTGAAGTTCTCAGTATTGAAAGTTGCGTTCACTTTCACACCAATGCGGTCATAAAACATAATTCAAAAAAATAGTTTTACGGAGGAAGGGGGGTTGAGGGGTGAAACTGGTCCTCTCCCTCCAAAACGCATGTTGAAGTTCTACAGTCCCAGCCCCCCAACCGGTGAGCGTGACCTTGAGCGGAGACAGGGTTGATGCTGCTGTCGCTAGTTAAGGTGGGGTCGCACTGGAGAAGGGTGAGCCCTCAATTCAATGACAGGTGTCCTTCCAGAGAGGACACAGAGCCATGGAGGGGAAAATGCCACGTGACAATGGAGGCAGAGAGAAAGTGATGCAGCTACAAGCCAAGGACTGTGCGGGTGGCGGGCCGCCACCCAGAGCCAGGAGAGGCGGGGAAGGACCCCCCGCCCCCCCGCCCCAGCCTTTGGAGTGAGCCTGGCTGGCAGTACATTGATTTTGAACTTCCGGCCTCCAAAATGGTGAGAGAAAAATTGCCACCCATTTTCAGCTGCCAAGGTTGTGCCACTTTGTTATGTCTGCCTAGAAAATGAATATATAATGCCAGCGTGCCCAGGGTCCCACGGAAGTCACAGTGCGGCCCCGGCTGTCTCCACAGCAGGGAACCTTTCCAAAAGGTGCTCGGGGTGACTCAGCATGGCGCTGATGCCACTCCCTTCGTTCTACTCTTGCCTAGAGACACACGAGGCTCCTGCCCTGGGGACAGATGGGGACAGAGCTAACACGCATGATAGGAGTGGGGACGTCCTGGGGACAGAGCTAACACGCATGACCGCAGTGGGGGGCCTGCACCTCGCCAGTGACCCGTTCCTACTTGCATGCAGTGAAGGGCCACTTACTGGACGGAGGCGTCTTATTTACGGCACAGGAAGGCGCCTGGCGGGGTTGCGCGGCAAGCCCCGCTTTGCCCCTCGCTCAGGCACCTCCAGGGCGTGCGGCCCCTGCCCCCCGGGCCTCCGCGCCCAGCAGTGCTCACCAGAGGACAGCTGTCCTTCGTGCCGTCTTTGGACCTGTTCTTTGCCAACCTCTTCTTCTTTTTATGAAGTGGCTTGGATTCGAGAATCATTTCTTCAAGTTCGAATGTGGGATCACAGTTCAATCTCCCTTTCTGAAAGGAAAGCAGGGTTTGCCTTTGTTCCACCTTTCGCCGGATTTTATTGTCATCCAATCATTCATCCCATCCCTCATTCAACAAGTGAGAATGACCTACTGCTGTGGGATATGTCGGTTATAGATAGTTTTTCTGATAAAAACAACACATTCCCGTTGTACACATCCTTTGTTTACCCGTATGACTCCCCCTGCGCCGGACAAGCCCGCCCTCGACATCCACGCATCTCCGTGGACTCCCTGCTACGCATGTTCACTTCTTGAGGCTGAGTTCAGTTTTCCGACCAGATATTTTCACGTACTTTATCCCATACACATTCTCATGCCAACACTCTCTTCTATAAATATCACTTTTAATTGTTCAATATAAAAATGCCATTTCTGATCAAATTCTCCCCCATTTCCGGCCCTGGTGGTCTGTCCTGCTGTGGCGGGAGCCAGTGCCCCAGCCTGGCCCTCCCGGAGGCTGGGCGCCCCCCCGCCGCCCGCTGCTGCGGTCAGAAGGCGTTTGGGTCTCCCTGCCTTCCAGACCTGGAAGCCGAAACCTGGGCGGCCTCTTTCGGCCCCGATACCCTGGATGCCAGCCTCCCGGGCAGCAAAGCCTCGTGGTTGTAACATCGACAGCTCCCAAGGCGCAGCTCGGATTTCAGGCCCGAGTCTCTGCTGGCCTGACGTATCTGTCGTTCATTCATTCACGCGTGCGTTCACGCATTCCAACGCGGGCCCCGGTGCAGACCGCCTGTGGCCACACCTGGTTCTGCCAGGTTCTCACTGAGTCATCCCGGCAAGTTTCCTAACCTGAGAACCCTGGCAGGCCCACTTCCCTGGTGTGAGGCTCAGCACCCAGAATGCTCTCCACCCCATTGGCTGTGACCATTCACTCGTTCATTCACTCTCGTGTTTGACTGGCAGCCCCCGAGGCCTCTGGTGCCCTCCAGGCCCCGCTGCTCCGCCAGGGGCGACCAACGCTGCATGGTCCCCGCCCTCGGAAGTCACAGGAGGACGGCAGCCGCACTGAAACAGGGCGTTAGGAACCACGAGCCTCCACCCGGGCGCCTCTGCAAAGGGGGACGAGCAGGCCGTGGCCGGGGGAGGAGGTGGGGCCGGCTGGGCAGTGCCCCAGCGGAGGCAGCGCTTGCGTTCGCCTCTCCCCAGAATCCGTTCCCGAGCCCTGCAGATGGGCCCGGTGCTGTGTTTTATGCTGAGTCTGGAAGGAGGGGCGGGAGGGGGAGACAGCCCCGTGGACAAGGGCGCCCACGGGAGGGGAAGCAGCGTGTGCCCAGGTGCGGAGCCAAGGAACAGCGTGGCCGGAGGGGCCTGCGAGGCTTCTGGGTGTGGCAGGAGCGGGGTCCTCTGCACGAGGGCTCATGTGGGACGGAGCGCGCGGGTGTGAGGCTGTGCTTGTGCAAGAGCAAGTGTGCGTGCGGTGGCGGGTTTGAGATGGGGCGGGGCTGCGGAGGAGCGGCAGGCGAGGGACCACAAGGGCAGGCAGGTAACCATCCCTGGCAGACGATGCCGCACGTTGGCCCCACGTGTCTCCCAGGCCATCCGCACCCAGCCCCAGGAGGGCTAAGGTGCAGCAAGGGGGAGAGGGGACAGGGCAGTTTGGGGGGCCAGCAGCGCGCGGGGCGGGGGTCCTCCTTGGCATCAAGGCCGGAGACCCTGCAGAGGGACGCTCGCCATCAGATAGGACCCCCACTCACATTGGGCACAAAGCTGGGCGTCAGCGCCTTCTCCAACACTGCGTCCCAGTTCATGTCGGCCAGGTAGGGTGCGCTCTGGACGTCGCCGAGGCTGGACAGGCGGCTCTCGGGGTCCTTGGTCAGGAGCTGGGAACACAGGGCAACCGTGCTTGCCTGCGCTGAGTGCCACCAGGGTTAGCGGGGCTCTGAGGGCGGGGCCTTGGGAAGGGAAAGGGGCCTCTGCTTTTCACACTCCAGCCCTGTCAGGCCCTGTCCGGGCTGTGGTCACTGGAAGGGGACCCTGCGCTCATCTCTTCACGGCGGGAGGGACCGAGAGGTCAGGCTGCTTCTACGAGGTCCCCCGGCCGGGGTCTCTCTGGGCAGGCACTCAGCTTGCAGCGCCCTCCTGGGGACTACAGCCCTGTGACACGCTGGCCCCCACCGGTGTCTGCAGAGGCTTCCACGGAAAAACAGAAGGAATCAGCCGCCTCATTTTAGGACTTTCAGCTTGAAAATGGGACACGCAAAGTGTCATGCAATTGACCACGGACAGTACGAGGTGACCTCTGTGGCCAGATGCCCTGACCTCGTTGGCAGCCCAGGCAGCAAGGTCCGGCTTCTTCTCAAACGGATCTCTGCTAATAGGGGCGACACAGTACAAAGACGGCTGCAGACTATGACCTGTGTCCAAACGCGCCTCCCTGCCTGTCAGCATCTGCCTTATGGAGGGCGAAGGACACCTGCGCTCACACTGCAAGGACAGCAGCCCCAGGTCAGGCCCTCCCCTTCCCGCCTGCGGCCTTGGGGAGCCGGGGCGATGCCTTGACCAACTCCAGGGGCGGGATGGCCTCCCCTCCCTGCCCGGGGCACCATCAGGATGAGGCCCACGGGGACCAGGCAGGGCCGGCGCATGCTCAGGGCAGGTCGCCGCCCAGCTGCTGACAGGACGGAGCCACCCAGCTCCCCGACAGTCGGTTCCCGTCCGTCACTGCAGCAAGCAGGCTAGAGTCACACCGCATGAGGGACACCGGCAGAGCCGTCTGTGCCGATCGTGCCTGCGGCCTCTCTTTAGGGGCTGCTCCCAAACGAGTGGAGCTGATGTAAAGAGGCCCCACTGCGCTGCCCCGCGGCGGCTTGGCGAGGCCGGGGCAGCCGCTGTCTGACTCGCTGGGTGGCGAGGGATGGGGGAGCGGGGGCCCTGGTGGGTGTGAAGGGCTCCCCGTGCTTCAGTGACCTGTCAGGCTAAGGGCACTGACGTTCTAAAGAACCAGGCGGTGAATCCGCTCTAAAGCAGGTCAACTCCTTAGTCGCCCCTTAGAGCGGGGTGCAGCGGCGGTGGGCGGGGGGCGGCAGAGCTGGGCGTGGAGTTCAGAAAACTTGGCTCGAGTCCCGCCTCTGTCCCCTAACGGCCCTGTGGCTTTGCCTTGCGAAGGCTCAGCCTTCTCCGCCCTACTGCAGGGACGGTGCCACCACTCGGGGTGCACCACCACTGGCCCGGGGGACGCGCGAGGGGCCCCGCCCCCAGGGCTGGCACACAAGCTCCAGTGCTGTCATGGTCCCTCGACTCTGTGCCTCTTGGAGGGTTCCAGGTGACCAGAGCTGAACAACAGCCTCCAAAGGGGGAACTGTGACCTACTGCCCTGGGGCCGGCATCACAACCGCCCGGACAGCTCGTCCCCACACACATGACCGGCCCACCCCGGGTTTCTGACTCAGAAGGCCTGGGGCAGAGGCGAGAGGCTGCCTCCTGGGAGCTCGCGGGCGGCGCGGCCACCCCTGGGCTGCGCACCGCACCCACAGAACAGCGGCTCTGCGCAAAGAGCAGCAGTTGCTGCAAAAGGTCAGGAGAGGCCCGAGTTCTTAACGCTCGGTGCATTCGGTTCACCTGCAGCGAACAGTTTAAAGAGACACCTGCATTACGTATTTCTATTTATTAGGAGCTTGTGGCAGAGAGAAAGAGCCCGGGGCTTTGCTGTCGGAGACAGGAGCGACTCCAAGCCAGGCTCCACCGTCCAGAGGTGTCCTGACTGTGAACGCAAGTTAGAGCCCCGCTGGCTCTGTGTGCCCGTCCCCCTGCCCGGCAGGCCGGGGGCCCCTTACCTTCCGCAGCAGCGCGACCATGCCCCTGCACCACGTGGAGGAGTAGTGCACCCGCTCCACCTTGAACATGTGCAGGATCTCGTCGATGGGCGTGGCCGAGTGGATCTCGTATGGTCTCTGCGAAGGACAAGGGGCGGGATCAGAGAGGGCACGGTGGGGGCAGGAGACCGCGCGGGCGTGGCTGACACTGTGTGGTCACCAGGACAGTTTACTCTTTCCTGCAGGTAGTGGTGGGTGTTCCTACTTCACAGCAGAGCAGGTGGCCTGGACCCACAGGCCACCAGTGACCAGGCGTGCGGGCAGTGGGGGCACCGGCAGGCGGGTGCTTCGTTAGGGCCGCGGGAGGTTAAGTGACTTGAGAAGGTCACACCGCCGGTAAGTGGCAGAGAGGCAGGATCCAACCCAACAGCCTAACTCGGGAGTCCCTGCTCCTGGCTCAGGTTGGGGACATGGGGGTGTGGCCCGGGGAGGTGGGCTCTGGTCACTGGGCACCCAGCCACACCTCCGTTGCAGCCCCCACCTTCCCCGCCTGGCTGGCCCTGCATGCGTCAGTGGTTACCTTGCCATAATTCTTTGTGCTCCAACAAAACGGGGAGTTATTACTTGTCACATAGCTCTACCCATCACCTTTGGCCGTTACATTTAAATGACATAAAGTGAAAATACATACTGAATGCCCCAGGACACGGAGCTAAGTATCCAGGGAGATTGGAATGAGCAAACGACAGAAAAAGCGACACATGTGTGGTCTGTGCCCACAAGGGCTTCAGCCCAGCTGGGACGTGAGGCAGGCACATCGCCCTGCGGGCGCACACAGGCCAGCGTTCGCAACGGCCAGGCCAAGGGGCTTCCCGTCTTTGAGCTGCCATTGACTTTGGCACATGACCTTTCCCTCTGGACATCCAAAGGGCTGGACCAAAAGCTCACGCATGCTCAGAGACATCAGCGCTGACACCCAGGCCACCAGGACCGTCACCCACGCCTGTCTCCTCGCACAATCCTCCTTTCTGCCACCCTGCGCTGTCCCGGGAGAATGGAGTGCCGACTCTCTGCGAACCTCCTTGGACGTGAGCCCCGCCCCCTTCCCCGGCCCCGTGCCCACCGCGCATGCGTACGTCTTACCCAGCCCCGCAGCAGCTCGTAGGCCGTGACGCCCAGGGACCACCAGTCCACAGGGTACGAGTACCCGGGGCCCCCATCCACGTACACCTGGAACACTTCTGGGGCTGCCAAAGACGGGACAGAGAGAATGTCACCGTGCGTCGCAGTTTACACTTACTGCTCCTTAGAGAGGGGACGTGGGGACAGGAACCGCAAGGCCAGTACTCCATCCGCTACACCACGAGCTTCCTGCCCTCCTCCGTACGCCGTAAGTTGGCTCGAGAAAGGCTGCAGGCTTCACGGGAAACCCCAGTGTGACCGCCTGGGCGGAAGGACAGCGGGTGCCCCAGGCGTGCAGTGGCGGCCGTCTGCTCCGGAGAGTCCGGGCCACCCCTGGAGCGGTGCGCCTGGCGCAGCGTGAGTCGCGCCAGCCGGGGAGTGGGCGGGCAAGGTCTGGGTTAAGACGGAGAAGCCACCCCCAAGGGGCTGAGAACTGCAATAAACGTCACTCTGCTCCTAGCACCAATACAGGATTGGGCGTTCCAACCACCAGGGATGTTTAGAGTCCCTTTTGCCTGCTGCTGTCTCAGGAACAAGTTTATTTAAGCAGATGTGGGACCAAACACAAAATCCCCAGAATCAGTAACAACAGAGACTGAAGGCAGATAGGGAGTTGCCAGAGGCTGGGGGGAGGGAGCAGCTGCCTCACGGGTGCCCTTATGGGGCAATGGCAATGTCTGGAACCAGCCTGCGGTGGCAGGTCCACGACACTGATTGCGCTGAGAGCCACGGACGTTTGCTTTAAAGCAGTTAATTTTGTTATGGGAGTTTCACCTCAGTTTGAAAGAAGTGAAGGATGGAGGCCCACGCGAGGGTCTGCAGTGGTCCTGGGGCTCCCTGGCCCTGGCGCCCTCCGAGGTGCAGAGCGGGGGGCCCCTCTCATTGCCTCGCCCCGCCTCGCTGGGCCAGGAGAGCACCCCGAGCTCTAACTGCGCAATTTGGCTTCCAGGAAAGTTCTGTGAAATGTGCATTATTTCTAGCAAATTAATTGGTAGATCGTCACATTTTCCAGTCATCAGAGCAGCCACACTCTGTCCCAGGGAACCATGGCATTTGGGATCAAAGGCGTCTTGCCTCAGGTGTCAGGCTGGCACTCGGACAGCGCGCCAACGGGAAGGCACGGACGCTCACGGCTGGGCGCTGCATGGGCAGCTGGACCCGCATCTGACCGGCGGCCGAATTCCAGCTGCCCTCTCGCGAGACTCTGCATTTGCGTCATTTTTTAGGACACTGTTTCCCCCTTGGGTTCCCCTTTCTTCTTCACAGCAGCTCCCAGGGGCTGACGGGGCTCCGAGCGGGACAGCAGCGTGAAGGGGGTCCTCCCGCGGGGAAGCGCGAAGCTGAGGGACGTCTTACGCACTGGCCGAATCCCTCTGTGAAATAGGTTCATATCAACGTTTCTTTAAGATCAAAAACATACCAGGTCCACCACAGGGCAGAGGGGACTGGGGGTGGAGGAAGCGTCCCCTTCGGCTCCCTGAGCCTTGTACGGGAACCGGTGGGGTGCGCGCTGAAACAGGAAGCAGGTCGGTGTGGCTGGGGCCGGGTGTAGCAAGTCACCGACCTTCTCTTCGCCTCAGTTGGGAACCACTTCTTCACAGAGGCGTCGGGAGGATTAAATAAGAACACACGCCAGGAGCCCTGCCTGGGCCTGGCGGGCTGGCTCGTACCGAGTGCCGCGGAAATCTCAGGCAGGACTTTTATTAGCAGCAGTCGGATTCACGCGCCCCGTCCCCAGCATGCTTAGCTTCCCCACTGCCCCCACCCCGGTCGCCCCGAAGCCTGGGACCACCCTGAACTTCATCCCCCGCAGCCTCCTGACCTGCGGGCCCCCAGACCCTGAGTTTTGCATTTTTGGCATCTTTTCGTCGGCCCTTCCAGCCATCCTACACCCGCCTGACTTCAATGGTGCCGGTGTCACCTGTTTGTTGAGGGTCTGGTGAGTGACGTGTGGCTTCCCAGCATGCCCTGGCCCTGAGCTGTGCTCTTATTCTGCAACCCACCGGGGCCCACCCTGAGGCCCAGCCCAGAGGGACCCCTTCCCTGCCTCGCCACCTGCACACTCGTCCTTTCTCTGGGCTGAGGGCTCCCAAGAGAAGCCGTCACATGGCTCCCCGGGTATGTCCCCAGGGCCCCGCAGCAGCTGGGCCGCCCACGTGCTCAGACCAAGCAGGAGGCAGGGACACGCCCGTGCGTACGAGCGCAGCTGTGCGCGCCGAGGTGTCCCCTGTAAACCCTTGTCATGCCCGCCAGCCCCGAGCCCACACGGCATCCAGGGTAGAAACAGCCGCTGACAGATTCTCTCCTAGCTGTCATGAGCAGCCAAGTGACAAATGTCTGCAGCCAGTGAAAGGTGACATTCTCTCTTTCCCTTCACACATGGGGCTAGTGATAGAACATAACATTTATGTCATAATCCATATGCCACAAAAATGACTGCTGCAGTGGCCCAGAATCACAGCGTCATACGGATTTGGAGCTGAAGTGTGGGTATGAGACGATGCCCGTCATTGCACGTACGGGTGACTGAGCCGGAGCACCTGCAGCGCGCCAGGTGCAGGCGAGGGGTTCGCGCACACAGCCTCTCCGCAGCCTCCCGCCGGCCTAGCGGGACAAGGGCTCCGATGACGTCCATTTCTCACACGAGGGAGTAGAGGCATAAAAGGGGGTAGTGGATTGACCTGTGTCCCCCGAGAAGATGTGTCCAAGCACTAACCTCCAACACCTGTGGATGGGCCTCATTTGGAAATAGGGTCTTTGCAAGTATGTTTGAGGTAAAGAGCTCAAGATAAAATGTAGGGTCCACCCTAGAGGTTGTTATAGGAGAAAAAAGAGAAAGAGGGAGACAAACGCTGAGACGGAGCGATGTGGCCACAGCCCGGGACCCCTGGAGCCACCCGGGGCTGCCAGAGGCAGGAAGGACCCCCCCCCCCCCCCCCCCCCCGGAGCCTCCAGAGGAAGGAGAGTCCTGCCAGTGCCCTGACGATAACTTGGCCCCCAGAATGTGAGAGGGTGAACTCCTGTGGTCTCCAGCCACCACGCCTGCGGCTTTGTTGTGCGGCCTGGGACATGAACGAGGGGCGAGGAAGGTGCCCTGGCTCATCGGGCTGGTGTGGCAGAGCTGGGTCAGCCTCTCCTGGGTTTCTGGCTCCAGAGTCCCTTCTCCGTGCTGCAGTGACTGCCAGGAGTGACGGAGTGACCTGAGGGTGGGTGGGTCCTGGCACGCCATGACCCCTTCCTCCCCTCCTGCTCCGGGGCCTGGGGCTCAGCCATGTACCCAGCAGGCACTTAATAAATGCACGTCACTCGGCTCCTTCACCCCTGAGGCCACAGAGCTGGTCCGGCTCACAGCCTCCGAGTCAGTGTGGCCGCAGCAAAGGGCCCCACGGATGCCGTCCTCCGGGAGGGGAGCCCTACGCTGAAGGAGGCAGGACAGCATTCTGCCGCCGCAAAGGGCAGGGGGGCAGGCGGGGGGAGGGAGCAGAGAAGCGGCATCTCTACCCCTGGGAAAGGGAACGACAAGCCCCCTGGGCAGAGACCACAGTGGCTCCCACTTGCTGGGGGAGGACAGGACCCAGGAGAAAGGCCCGCCCCCAAGGCCATCGGTGCGGGGCCTCCTGCAGCCTCGCTGGACCAGGAGCACAGAGGGCGGGCGTGCCCCTTCCCTCCCAGCCCCCAAACAGAGCGGCAGGTGTCAGGTAATGGGGAAGGGACGTCTACAGCCAGGGGACAAAAGGACAGACGGGAGCGGGCTCTGAGCACGGGCGTGCGGGCCCATGGGAAGGCCTGGGGCGGCAGGTAGGGCAGGGCACAGAGACGACTCTGGCCACCCCCGCTCAGCCCGACTCCAGGAGAGGTGCGTTGTGGGTAACATGGCAACAGCACACCCAAAGCCGGCTCGGATCCTGGTGAGAGGGACTCAGTCCTTCCTCCCCAGCCTCCCCCCGCCCCCGCAAAACACAAGGGCAGTTTGCAACAGATGGCGCTGGAACAGCTGGGGGGCCAGGGGCCGCCAGAGGAAGCCAGATTCACCCCTTTGCCCTGTATTCACCAACGACCCTGGAATGGACGGTGGCTCCGAAGGTAAAGCCCCAAAACATCGGGCCTCGACCGGAAAACCAGGCGGAAATCCTCGTGACCTTGCATGAGGAGGAGAATTTCAGAAGTGACACCAAATATATGATCCACAAAGGAAAAAGGGGGTTTATCAAAATCGGAAACTTCTGCTTTTCAAAGGCTCTAAAGATGCTAGAAAGACAAACCAATGGCTGGTCAAAATGTATGGAAAATACACACCTGATAAAAGACGTGGAGCCAGTACAGGTAAAGCAGCCTCCAAGAGCCGAGTCATGGAAAAGCAGACAATCCAGTGTAGCAATGGGCAAGTGGTTTGGAGGGATACTTCACAAAGAAAGTACACAGATGGCCAATAAGCAAACGCAAATATGCTCAGCAGCACCAGGCATTAGGGAATCGCACATTGAGCCTGCTACCTACGTCTTAGAGCGGCTGGCAGAAGCGACAACAGCCTCAGACAGGGCAGGCCCGGACTGGCGCGGGGGCAGGGCTCGGGGAGGGGTGGGGTGGGCACGGGCCCCTCCTCCCTGGAGCACAGGCGGCAGTTTCTCAGGAAGTTAAGCACAGACTTTCCATATGACCCAGGAACCCCACCTCTAGGTGACTATTCTAGAGGACTGAGAACGTACGTTCTTATAGAAACCTGTATGCAAACATTTAGAGTGGCTTTATTCAAAATTATGTAAAACTGGGAACAGCTCAAACGTCTTTCAGCTGGTGACTGACAAGCCAACTGTGTGTATTCACCCAATGGGGCCCTGCTCAACCACAAAAAGGAACAAGGGATCGAGACACACGACAGCATGCGTACATCTCAACCGACGTCACTCTAAGTGAAAAAAATCAGGTTCAAATGCTATGGACAATATGACTCCATTTATACGACTTTCTGGAATAGTCATAACAAAAGGGCAGAAAGCCGATCACTGGTTGCCAGGGACTGGGGCGAGGGCGTTTTGGAGGGGATGGCATGTTCTATGTTGTCACT